CACGAGGCAAAAGTAATTGTCGATGCGCAACTATTGATTTCGCATTTTCAATACTCGTTCCATGATAACAGTTCGCCCATGTTTTCCATACATTGTGGTGTGTAAAAAATGGTCCATCAATATAGACGCCGAAGCGAGTCCACTCTCGTGGAATCACATAAGTGTAACCACCAACAAAGTACGTGTCTGGACTGTCGAGCGAATAACACTGAGTACAATAGCAGCGGTCATGAGTTTCATGGCGCAATGCAACAGGCCAATTTTGGCTACTGAGAAATTCTTTACCAATCCGTAAATTTTCACATTCAGTCATTGCTCTTGACAGAACAAAAAAGTTGACGAATAACGAATTTCGAAAGTTGAATGTGACTGCGTGGCAGACATTAAGAGTATAAAATGATTACGACTGATAAAAAGCAACCTTCTTTTCTTTCTGTCAGTGTCGTTGGAAAAAACCTTGTCGATAAGAATGTAAAAACAAGGAGGCTTATGAATATTTTCGACCTGAATGAACTAATCTTTAAATTTAAAAAATTTTTCGTTCTCTACTTACAATTCCATTCATCATAAGCACTGTCATAACACTGCATCTTGATAAATGATCGACCGTGTGCTCCCTATATCGAGCAACATATCCCAACTATTATATACTGATATTCGGCAGCATTTAAATAATGACTGGATACAGCTCCAAGTTGAAGCTTCTTTCTTGCGCTTAAATTCTAGTGATTCCTGGTTGCTCTGTGAACTATTTTGCAAGAAAAGAATAACATCATCTAGAGTTGTTCTATCATAGACCTGGTGATTAGAAAACATAGAAAAAAGCTTCCGAGATCGGTTAATCTCGCTCGAATTCGATCATTGTCTATAGAATCCGATCAAAATGGAAATAGCAGATACTTTATTTTCAGAAGCACAAAAACATTGAAATCATCATTATATTTTTCTGGATTTCCGCTGTACTAAGGATCTCTGCCCTTTACATTTTCAAGATACCTTTTCTTTTAGAATGTGTACATACTACTTGCAGACCCTTTACTATATCATATAGAGATGTAGAAACAACGGATAATTGTAAAGCAAAAGAGATCATTATCATAAAAAGTCTAGACATGTTTTCTTTCAAGACAAATGCTAATGAAATCGGGATGAAAGAGTATTAGCGTTTTATCTTATTGTATTGGAAGAAAAGTAATGAAAACATAAGTAAAATATGTCATGCGAAACTAATCTATTAAATCTCTTATGTAATCAAATGTCCTTCATTCCACAGCTTGATCACTAAGATTTTCAAAATCAATCGATCGACAGATCACTCTAACCATTTTTCAAAAGCTAATAGACATTGTGTTTATACATTTAAGTTTTTCTTTCCATTCATTTTAACATGTGATTTGTTATGATAGGTAAAGTTAGAATATTGCCCATAGCTGCTCTTGTTCGAAACTGCAATTCACAACTTTGAAATAAGCAGTTACAACATCATTTTTAGCTTCAGATAGATCCTCTTTGTGTAATTCTGACAACATAATAAATAGAGTTACAGAGTCTGTTATCACCGTGTGAGTAATTCTGCGCGTCATCTTACGTACTTAACAATTGTAGAGCTATTGGTAAGAATAATGTCTTTCTCTAAAATAGAATGAATCAAGATAAACAAATATGATGCTTGACTTTATACAGACTTTATCAGTAAGCATTTTACATTTAGACATCTTAATGATGAATTAAAGACTTTAGATTGATCGTATCGCTCTCTTCCAAAAACTTCAATAAGAACTTACGAAGAAAAAGGTCGTGAATTTGAATTTTTGTTTTGACCAAACGCATGAAGACATCTACGTTGTATTGCTAATATGAAATATTCTACGTAGGAAAACAAGAAAAACAAGCATCAACATATGAGACTGAATATACTGATAATTACATGCTCTCTACCAATCACTATTTTTCTTGGTTCTATCTCGTCTTCTCGGTACTCCATTCTGTATCTACTTCACTAACCGAACACAACATATACACTTTCTTCTCCTCTTAGTATAACTTCTCTTCTTCATTTATTTATTATATCGTATGCTCAACGTATAAAAGGAGTAGTTTTGGTAGCAACAATGCCTAAAGAGTCAACAGTAGATGAATTTGGTTGCTGGTCACAAGTCATGAATGATTTAATAATATAAATAGAATTGTAGCTTTTCAATTTGAATCAGTTCTCCCAATCGGATGAATTGATTTTTTATTTTATTTAAACATTAAAAAATTTGTAGTCTCGTACAATTTAAGGTCATTCCAAACGAATGCCGTTAAAAAACGCTCCTCATCGAATTTTCTTCTTTCTTTCGGCATGCCACCAAGCGATGAGTAAAATTGATGTGTTTGCTTATTATCAACTGACCAAACAATAAAATTCTTCGGCTGGAATGCTAAAAGAATATCATTCCATACAATTTTCCATAATTCATAACCAATACCACGATGTTGATATTGTTTACGAACAAATATATCATGTATTTCGCAATCATATGTTTCATGAGCAACTATTTTATGGGCTTCAACTGCGCGTCCACCACGACACCAACCAACTAAATTACCATGATCAACTTCAACTACATAAAGTATGAACTGTGATTTATTATTAAATTTGGCTAACAAACGTTCTAATCGTTCTTCCATTTCATCATTAATAGTTGGCATTTCCAAAGCTTCGTCCATTATTTGTAACATCTTCGGCAGATCGTCTAAAATAGCTTTTCGAATGATAATCTTTTCTAAGTGTGCCATAGTGGTTATTAAAGAAATGTATCAGGCATACAGAATATTTATAAAGAACGGTTATTGACACACGTGTCATTTTTAATACGTTCTCTAGCCACGTAATCAAATGTGTGTCATATCAACATCAGTGATGTTATTATCAAGGAGAAACTATAAACACATTTGACATCGACATTATTTGAGTGAAGAAAAGTTCACTTTTTTAATTCTTGCTATGTTGCAATTGCAAGAGATAACAACAATTTGTGCCATTCTCAATGTCACTCTATTTAAGGTGTACTATAATTATTCTTCATATTTGATCTGTTTGTTTTCTCAAAAATATATTGCAGCGACATCTTTCTGATATAGTAAAATTCAAAAGTTTGTATCAAATGCTATTGACGTATTTGTATGTTCAGTCCGATATCGGTAGGATACAAAGCAGACACATTTTTCATTGCAGAAATAACTCTATTTGACTAATGAATTAGGAGAAGTATTTATAAGCAATACCACGATGTGATAAAGTCTTATATTTATATAAATAAGTACAACAATGAATTCATTCAGTTTGATATGAAGAGAAGATTTTCTTTCCTCTTAACTCTTCGTCATTCTATATTTTATTATTCTGAATAACAGTTTACATATATTTCAAAGTTTTTGTTTGATTGCAGTATCTGTTATCCACACAGAAAATCATGATTAACTTATTTGACGAACTGGACAGGTCTTCGATCATTGTGTTATTGTTTTCAAATTCCATAAGCTAATATTCGAACTTCTTCATCACTTATTTAATTTTGGCGAGGAAAAAAATAATGTTAGTGTTTTATTTAGTTTGATAATTTCGACAACATGCTTTGCATTTTCATCGGTCTGTTTAACATTTTTAAAGTCAAGTGATATGAGAAAATTATTGTTCATTAAAAGTGTCTTAACAAGAGAATAAACACTCTAATCACACACTCTCCCTATAGTGTATAGAGATAGTCTATTTAATGTGTTATGGTCATTCAAGACTTTTGCTAAAATCATAGCATCGATTGATGTGACTTTGTTTGAGTTTAATTAGAAGCGTTCTCATTGTTTATTGCTGAAGCAGTTGATGAATACGACGAGTGGCCGATAATTTGAAATCAATATTTTTTGTTTGCCTGGTTTCGATTTTGATCTCCTCAACAACTATCGAATTCTGAGTACTCGAAAATTATATCCTATCGGGTACTCATTTTCGGCTTCTCAGCACTCATTGAAGTTTTGAATACTCAACTAGAGAAAACCTATCAAAGTTCTGATTACTCACGAAAGAGAATTACATTAGAAGAACAATTTTGAGTGCTTCAGTGGAAGTAAATTCGGTACAGTACTAGTTTTGTTTGCTGAGTCTAATATTGATTATGTGAAAATTCTCCAAAAAGCGATTTTAAAATGTCTTTTACTTTTATTCAACGATTTTAGTAGAATTATTAATGTTCGACGTATATGCTACTGTAATTTCATCGTCTTTAAAGCAATATTTAATACCAACTGATGACAACTAAGACTGAAAGCCGTCAGCGTTCTTGAAGAAGATACAGTCATGACGAATTTTTGCATTTTAAACCTTTGAAAAAATTTCTAATCGTTGACTTTATACTTTATCACATAAATCTGTTGATTATCAAATGTCATATTTATCAAACATTGATATAAATTCATTATTGGAAGTATTCTTTTATACTTCGAATCTGTACATTATGAAATAATCTTCGTAGGTTTGAAAATATAATGATGTTATGCATATATTATTGACAATATCGGAATTCGTTTGAGGAACGAATCTTGAAATAACGATTTTAAAAGATGAAGATATGTTCGATTTCTTAATATGACAAATTTAAATTTTTTAATTATTAATAGTTCATTGTGTTGAAATTTCATGAGTGTAACTGGTAGCATTATGAATCAACTAGAATCGACTCTCAATCGATTATTCTATCCTGTCAATTTAATAATTGATTTTTTTCATTACACATTATGCATCTGATTAATTCAAAAATCGTATTGAAAGAATTTCTGTCGGCATGTCAAATGATATAACTATGATCAATCGAGCAAATGGAACATGAGATCCAAGTTCGGATCTTTTAAATCTATTTGCTAATATTCTTACTAATTCAAATAGCAACCTTTATATAGCAGATTCACTGCATTTGTGGATTTCATTCTCGTCAAGGACATATCTTCCGGAAGGACAAATACTAGCAACGATAAGCGAATAAAGATAATAAATGGCATGCGAGATTGGATTGACGTACGGACTGATATGACTTCATAGAAGTTATTTCTTTGATAAATTCGACTTTGCAAATATAGGAATAAGGATTTGAGAAAATTGCTTCGAATGATCAACAAGATTGTTCGAATAAATATTTCAAACTAAAAAAGTGTATCATTGATTGAAATGCAAAAATATTTCAAAATGTTACCTTAATTTCTTTCATCAAAAATTTCAAAAAAGTCATATTTTTTCATGAGAACTATAGCAAGTATCTGTCGTAAACTTCATAATAATAAATAAATTTCCAATTTATTTATAATTGTAGTGATAGATTCTACTAGACAATTGCTTTCTCAACTAGATCAACCGTTGGATATTGTATGAGATTCGAACTCCAGCACATTTTACATAGTGGATTATAGCAATCATCATATGATGAGTTATACGTCAGGCATGTCATCTGTAATTATGGTTGCTGATGATAATGGACTAGAGAACAATGGTACAACAACAATAGCTTATTCCGCTAGTGTGAACTTTGATTCACCATTGAGGGTGTGAGTGTGGGTGTGGTCATGCATTTCTTCTCTTGATTCACGTACGCTAGCAGACTCCTGACCTACATCCTATTGAAATTCAGAAAAAAAAATGTTTTACTACATTCTATGCCATTTTCTATTCAATCTAATCAATTTGCGAGCGAAAACTGATTATCATTGTGGGATTCATGCTTGACTTAATTCAAATTTTTGTTTTCTTACGATCTCTCGTGCTAGATATATTAATAAGTTTAAAATTAGCTATATTTTTTATTCTAAATTAATGAAATAAGAAACTTACTAGATATAGAAATAGGGGATGAGGCGTAGTTCATATGTTAAATATTATTTATTATGATGAAAATATTATTTCTAGTCTCTAAATAATTAATGTTTTTCAACAAAGTTAATAAGTGAAACAGCAATTTTGTCATGAAATGGTACATTTTTCTTTCGAATCAACTGTGCACATAAACATTTTAAACTAATTTTCATTCTACTTTTCAGTAGTTGCTTGATATCCGATATTGTTGCTAAATCGATTGGTGTCTCTCCAAAAGCATTAACACAATCTAGGTGAGCACCGGCATCACAGAGAAGATTCAATACACATTTGTTATATGCAGATTTACTAGAAGCAATTATATGTAGTGGTGTATTTCGTATAGTATCGTATGCATTTACAGCAGCACCGCATTGTAAAAGTATGCGAGTTGTTATCAAACACGGATATCTACAATAAAACATAAAACTCAAAGTTTTTTATGATATATAACGCACTTGCAAATACGTTTAATATGATAATCATCTACCCATGTATGAGTATCCAAGGCGAGATGTAATAAAGACATGCCGGAGTCTAATTTAGTATAATGACGATGACAAATGGAATGAAGAAGAGAAAAGAACGTTTTGCAATCCACTGTAGAAGCAATGTTTTCTACTAAAAACTACAGGAAACATTATTGAGATAAAATAAAGAACATTTATGTATATGTATACAAAATTGTACCTGACTCACAATTGTTATCAGAAAAAGTAAAGTAGACAGATTGTCATTAAAGTTTTTCTTGTCATATTCGAGCTGTTCTATTGTCTCTTTTATTATTGTAAACAAAGCTTCCATGGGTATGAATTTTATCTTATATAACATTCCACTAAAAAGTGATGCAAAACGGCGCAAATGTTTTGGATCAATTGAAATTGAATATTGTTGACATAAACTAAGTTCATATATCCAATAGGCAACTGCTTTATGATATTGTCCATTATCAGCTAGAATAGCACCACGATAGCATAGTGAATAACGGTATTCTCCATTAGTTGAACCGAGCAATCGTTCACGTACCAGCAAAGCTTCGATATACAACTGATCCGTATTCGAACGTATTTCTTCTAGTTGCTTAATTGTTTGGCATTCATGTCGATTATCGAAAATTGCATTGGTAGTTGATTTCGTAGCTTTCGAAAGATTGTGAATCGTTCTTAATTCGAGTGCTCGACAAAAATGTTTAAATGATTGATCAAGAACATGATCATCACGATTACCACAGATCAAAGCACTAGCAAGTAGTTCTTCAGCTTCTATCCTTTCAAGTAGTGAACAATAAGGAGAAATAATATCTACAAGCTCTGAACGCTTTCTTTCTGCTGCCCACATTAACGGAGACATTTGATCAACAACAGCCTGAAAGTTTCGAGCTCCACGTTTAAGTAAAAACTCCACTAGTTCAACTGATCCACAAGTGACAGCGTCGTAAAGCGACGAACGGCCATTATTATCACATTCATTTACATCATAGTTTAACTCATCCACAAGATAAGTAACCATATTTAAATGCTTATGACATACGCTCACCATTAGATTCGTATCATTGTTTTCTTTGGCAAGATGTACATCAGCACCGTTTTCAATCAAATAACGAGCCATGTCCACATTACCATTGTAACTAGCACCGCGCAATGGTGTTGAATTTGTTTTAGTTCGGTGATTCACATTAGCTCCATGTTCAACTAGTAATTTTACTACTTCGAAATCATTAATCGAAGTAGCTACCCATAGCAATGAAACGTTCGAAAATATTTGTCGAGTTGTATTTGTATCTCCCAAAACAACATTATTTAGTATTTCCAGATCTGGTTTGTAACGATGAAGCAACATACGTATCACATCTTTATGTCCATTTAAACATGCAAGCACTAGAAGAGTATATTTTTGCGAATGTATTTGATCATATAATCGATTCAAGTATAAATTAGGGTTTGCCACTGTTGATAAATGGTTTTCCAATAAGTTAACATCTCCTTGACGAACACTCGACAATAGCAAGTTATCAAATTCATCTGTTGATTCACAATTAAATTTCATCGTATTAAACGACATACAGAGACTGAAAATATTATTGTAACAAGAGCATTTTTACTCGCACGTGCCCCTTCATGTTTTTTAGGTTTTTTTTTTCATTCTATCATTTTTTTTTTATTAACGTTAATGTTGAGTCATAAAATTCTCATTGGTAAAGAAAAAACCAACCTTTACTGCTATGCGAAAGAAAATAAAAGAAACGAATAGGTTTGCTTAGCAGCATAAACCAGCTGGTGGTTGTGTTATTTTGTTTTTCAACAATGATAAAATATCTATACCGAAGTAAAGTATTGATTGATTAACATTTGATTTGAATATAAAAATCTTTTTATTTGGATACTGTTGAAAGTGAAAATAATCGAATCTGATTTTTGAATTTCTCTTTTGCTGGAATTAAAAATAGATCTTTCATTTTAATTAGCGATTTTTTGGTTATGAATTTAAGAATTTGTCGAAAAACATTTTAAAAAACAGACAAAGGAAAATTCAAAAATTGGACTCTTTTACGACCTCTAACCCTAAGCGTATCCTACAATTCAAAAAATCATCCGTACATGTTTAGCTCGTATTCTCATTTTGAAAATCTTCTTCGTGTAAAGAGTACTTTTGACCAATACATTGACTATAACTTGTGAGTATTTTAGAGATTTGAGAAAGATATTTTACTCATAATCTATTGTAGCCAAGGCTAACATTCTCTGAAATTTTGGTTAAAACCCGATGAAAAATAATAAAGTTTGATTTTGGGAGAGACTAAAATTCATGTAATTTATGTTTTCATTTTTCTTTTTATATTCATATGTCATTCAACAATTAGTTTTGATAATAAGTTGTACTAGCTTAAAGTCTAAATATGAAAAAACCTATTGACAATTTTTGTTATAACATTGCTACTATTCTAACGGTTGTAGGCATATAAAATCCTATTTTATCTGTATATTTTGACTGGTAAAATTACATTTTGAAAAGAATTTTTTGAATCTAATCAAAACAATAAAGAAAAAAAAAAGAGCTGTTAATATAATTAAATAAAATTTATTTAATAATAGTTCACCTTTCAACTGAGAATACACATTGAGCTTTCAGATATATTATCTCTTGAGCATGAAATAATACGTAATAAGCTAGCCTATGAATGTGAGGCAATATAGATAATGATTTATGAATTTTAGTATTTAATCCTAATAAAAAGCAAATTTTCTTATTCGAAATAATGTAAGGCTTGTCTAATTGAATTTAGAATCAAAGAAAAATTAAATAAAAATAAGATTTAATGAAGCTTTATATCAATGATAACTATCTGAATATAAAAGTCAATCATAAAATGTAAGAGTGATGTTATAAAAACACTTTTTAACTGTCTCAAGTAATTGATAATATGCATAATAATAAAGAGTAATTTACAAATATACTAATTAAACCCAGTTATTTTGAAAACTTCGTAGAAAAAAGCCTAGAAAATAATCTATTATACATTATATGCAAGTTTTCTTTTTCTTTTATAATTGAATCTCTATAAGTCGGTATCACATTTCATAGTGGAAAATTTTCGAAAAACAAAAACAAAACAATCATGACTATGATTACTCTGTTGTCTATAACAAAAAGAATGAACTATCATATGTGCTACTACTATTCTGAAACATTATTAATTATGTCATTTATTCTTTTGTTATGACAGATTTAGACATGAGTGAAATTATATGAAGTGTAATTTCGATAGACAAATTGAAACTCGATATAAATTTGTTGTATTAAATGCATGAAAAAACGATTCAAAATCTAATATTAACAAGCAACGAAGCGCAAAAATTATATGAACAATTCATAGATAAAGCCAAGTATAAACAAGATCATATACTACCAAGAATCTGAGAAGTCAATCATGATCATTGTATCTACACATATTTCTCGTATACACTGAAACAAAGCGAAGATCTAACAAGCATTTTAATAAAAGATTATTGTTCGTTAGAGCATCAGTCGACAATAGAATGTATATATCTATAACAATTATTTAATCTTGTGTTAATTTTGTTGGCTTTTAAAAAGAGAAGAATCTTAGTGTTAACCTATAATCGTTAATGAAATAAATCAAAACAAAAGATTTTGACGTGTGGCGGAAAATAAATCTATGAGGATATAAATTCATGTCAATAACTTGAAAAAAATTTACTTTTTTCGAATAACAATTAAACAAAAGTGATTTTCAAATTCAAACATTTGATTACATTCACGAGTCTATAACAGTAAAATGTTCATGCTGAGTGAAGATCGTATTTGGAACTGTCTATCGAGAGTCTTAAAATCGACAGTTGTGTGTCAGATTGATATGAATATCAATAATTTAGACGAGCAGATTCACCATATTTTTCAATCGAGTCAGAGAATCACAATTTTTTCCTCATGTTGAATGCAGTTAGATAAATTTCACTGCTCTGTAGTGGTAGATGCTGAGTTTCTGCAAGATTTATGTTCACCATTATCTAGCCTTTTTCCAGTTGTATCTTTATCGATTACAGACATAACTAAGCTATCAAAAACTAAAAAGTTGTTTGTTAGTGTGTAGGCAAGCACTCAAATAATGGTGAATATAAGTATTGTGATTTTTTAATAGTACATTTCATTACACCTATAAATATCACTTATAGCTTAGCTGAAGGACCAATAAACTATATCACGAATGATGTTCTTGTTAAGTGTCGGCATTTAAAAATTACATATGTTCATTCTTTTCATGGATTGAAATGCTAAAAATGTAATTTATGACTCTTCAAACCTTTACTTTCTTTACCCGTACAAAGATACAGATATCCGACCTGCAGGTTGCAGCACTCTAGTTGTACGTTCTCAAAGATTTTATACAACTATCATACATCAACACATCCTGAAAAGCTACTCGAAGGACATCCTTTCTTGAACAGCTCTTTCGCTGAGATAATAACAGATGTTGCAATCCCTAAACTATTGTAACTTTTCATATACATAGATGTGTTTCGCATTTTTATGTTTTATATAATTTTCAATTTTTTCATCAAATCTATCATTGAATAGGAGACTATCTATGCTATTCTATCGCAGAATGGACATGATTCTATTCAAGTTGGTTTATTTTTATTGGATCAATATTTTCTACGATTTCAATTTCAATTATTCAATAAGTGTAAATCGAGCTTAGTTTTCTACATAATTCATTTCTTCTAACACGAACTATTCCAAAAGTTTGTTTCCTCTTTAATAATGGTTTCAGCAAGTTCTTTCAATCAAAATAGCTTGAACTTGTGAACTACAACTTTTACAAAGTAATGCTTTAAGATTATTTCATTGTTGTAAGCGACATTAGCGATAGACAAGTCCAATCAGGTCTAATAGAACGCTTGTAATCGATTGGTAAGCATAACAATACAAATGTCTCATGTTCCTTTACTTAGTTCCATTTGAGAAAAAAAACTGGTCAGTCACCTGTAAACCACTGAGAAATTCAAACTGTCTTTCTTTAATTTATTTGAATTTCAAAGAACAACATCAATATTCTTGTTTTTTGTAGAAAAGAAGACAACGTATTCACTTTTACATTTCTTTACAAGTATTAAAATGTGATATCACAAGTATTTTATTATACTTTCAGATATCATGTTTTTTTCTGATTGTTCACGGAGAGTTCTATTCAAGTATTGTATTCACTTTAAAATAAAGACTTTGAGATGAAAATTATGAAGAGACACATGCCATATTAATAACAATGACCAGTACTGTATGCTAATATCTTACTAAGTATAGAATAAAGGTTTAGAGTTAAAAACATGATCGAAAATCACATAACAAACGAACTATTCTAATCAATTTCGTATTCAACAGTTTGTTCACCTAAAAACAAAGATTCAGAATTCGAAATCTAATTAAATTGCACATACCAAACGAACAATAATCAGCTTGATCTTATTCAAGGATTTTAATGGTTTCAAACGGATGGTTTGCCGTTAAAAACACGATTGGTGATCACATAAGAATAGAATGTACATCGCGAGGCTGCTCTACAAGTATTATGATTACTTCAAAGTAAATATTTTGATATGTGTAATTTATCGACAATCTTTCAACAAATAAATAATGATTATCAAGATAATATTGACGTATTATGTTCATCTGAAAGAAAAAAAGTTATAGTTAGGACTAAAGAAAAATTTAACGTGGAAATTGAATAATTATAACGAAAATTCTCTTTAGAAATTCAAGTCACTCCAACGTTAACATTAGGAATTGGTAACATGATGCAAGAATACACAGCAAATGAATAATGATGATCAGAGTTCTATATAAGAATTTCGTTCACATTTATGCACTGCTTTTGAGTTAGAGAACGGTCACCAGGGACAACCTGTTTGATGAATAATTTTAAAGAGGATCTTGTTCAATAATTTCATAACTGCAAACAAATGCATCGGGATTTGAATATAACTATTAATCATATGAGAACTAAATATTGCCAACGAGAATGCTGTTCCATTAATCAACACATCTCGAAACTTTAGTTTCGAGCAATTCATTTTCCCAAAGATCATCTAGCAAAAGAATGATGACGAGTATGATTGTATTCAAATATTTTCTTTTGTAGAAAGCAAAGATTTCGAATATGAAACACTAATAAAAATCACATAGTAGCAAAATAATTCTAATGAGAGTTCATGGCAAATATTTTTCTCGATTCAATGCAAAGCCTTAGAAATAAATATCACGAAAGATCACACGACAAATGATTGATAATAAGCAAGAAATTTCGTTCTCTAATCGTTACTGCTTTTAAAGTAAAACTTGAAAGTTAAAGATAGTGGAAGATTACATAAAAAATGTATTATAATAAGAAAAATTCAATTCAATTACTATGAACACTTTGGTAAACATTTACAAGATGGAATCATGGAAACAAGAATACTATCGTAAGTGAATCATTCTTAATAGACTATGTTTAAATATTTTCTTACTTGAAATTAAAACTTTTGAGTTGGTAACTTACTGACAAATCACATAACAAATGTATCATTCTTCGAATAATTCTATTCAGCTAATCTACTCGTCTTTCAGTGAGAAATTCTAGTTGAATAGCTTGATGATGATTGTATAACAAATGAACTATTCTAATCATTATTTTATTCAACAATTCTCATGCTTAGAGACGAAGATTCAAAATTCAAAGTGTAATCAAAGAGTACATGGCAAATGAATACTTCCAAGGATGATATTATTCAAATATTTTCGAGCCGAAGCGAAATGATTGAAGTTTATTACATGAAGAAAAAGGGCATGAGAAAAAGAATAATTTCAAAGAAGTTTGTATTCAATTATTTTTAATTACTTCATAGGAGAAGTTTGAATTTAGTAAGACTATCGAAGAGCAAATCACAAGTGAATACTTTGAAGCAAGATTCTATTCAACTCTTTTACTCAATTAAAAAGAAGAAGTGTGTAGTTGGTTATCTAACTAATGATATCATGGTAGATGATGATCAAGAAGAAAGGTTCTGTCAAAAATATTATATTTATTTATGAGCAAATATTTTGAATGTATGACATCAGACAACCTCACGTAGGAAATGAATAACTTGAAAACGGTTCAACATATGATGAACGACTATTAGAATATTTGAGAGAAGTATGATTATCAAAATTAATAGTAGAATCAATATTAACAGCAGGATCGGGAAAAAAATGATGCTCTGTTCAACTACTTTGGCTCATCTGTTAGAAAAGATTTGGAACTAGTAACAAAAATCAATCTTGAAAGATACATGGATGACTAGAATGATCAATAGAATCATCATCAACATACGAAGTCATTGCATAATCACGATATTTAAGAAGAGCTTGATGAGTACAAGAATAAGAATGAATACCAACCTACATATGTGAATGTTGATATGATGAGGAATGATGATCATTAGAAGAAGCACCTTGAGAATTAGAAGTGTACAGATTGGAGTTTTGCAGATATAATGATTGCAGATGGTTTGGCTGAACAGATTTTGGTCGACCTAAATGAAAATATAATATCGTTTAGCGTCATACTGTGAACTAGCCTTTTCATTTTCCTATATTATTTTATATGATATAAAGTTGTTCTATTTGTGGAGAATAGTATTCGATCAATTACAATAAAAATCCTCTCATCACAATCTCTGCGAGATTAAAATGTGAAATGCAATGGATATGCATATATTATAATCAAAGAATTTTATGACATATGCTTTCGTTTGTGACTGTTGACATACTGATATGTACGTGACGAGTGATGTAATTCGTAATACTTTACAGTGAGTTTGGAAAGGGATCCAAAGACAGGTATCTTAAATTCAATCTTCTTTCATAATAATCCTACAGAATGCTTTAATTCTTTTGCTAAAGTGATAGTCACAATCTGTGATATTTCCATGACGATGTTTGCCACAGTCTATGATGGGTCGTTGCCAAGCTATCTGTCACATTTGTCGAGGTAGGATATGAGTTCAAATTTCTACCCTTAAACTTCAACACTCCTTTTAAATTACGTTTTACAAAAGTCTGAACAATACATCATATATTTCAGTACAATAATTAGAATTAAAAAAGTCAAAATTAAAGATAGAATATCATGTACCGTTGTTAAAAAAGAGGAAAAGCTGTAATGAGTACTTGCCTAGCTTTTCATCAAAAGAGAAACTCTTTTTTTCTAAAGCAAAAATGACCCCCAATTACTTTTTTGCGAGATGGAGACTACGGTGGTATCATCTGTTTCTAAAGGAAACACGAATTTGCTTCCTCGAATTGACTACAATCTATTATTTACTCTTATGTACAACATGATTGGCAGTGAGTGTCGAAGTATTCGACTAGAAAAGTGAACCTTCTCCTCCTCTTCCAACTCACTATCCGTTCCACAGACATTTTCACTTGATACTCTCTTGTCCTTATAATAAGTTGTAATTAATGCAACAAAAATCTTCATGTGAAATCAATACAGCTCAATCATCTTTCAAATTTGAATTCCACAGTAATAGCGCTGAAATCTTTTTCAATTATCATAAAAGTCTGCTAAAAAAACTTGAGCATTGAATATGATGTCGAATTGATAGTTAAATGCAAAACTTCTACGGATAGTAGAATTTGATAGCTTCGTTTGTCGATCAATAGTTTATTACAAATTTTATCTTGGATGTCAAAATCTATGAAGGGCAACATCTCCGTCGTCAGTCTTGCATAAAAAATATCAATCCCGATCTCTTGTGGAGAAGGTATGTCTATACAATAATGTATTACCTGCAAATTGAATTCCATCACAAAATTATAGTAACTTCTGTCAAATGTATAATATTTACATCTTTTAGTTACTAGAGATCTCTCAATACAATTATATGTTTATTTGATGTCCAGATACGAAAGTCAAACCTTAATAAATTCGTCTAGCTCTAGTCGAGATATGATTTACAAAAATGATATTGAATCTTGCAATATCAATCACGTACCTTTGCTTGAAAACTCTTCCATTAGGGTCACCATTGATTGTATCGAACTGATGATAGAAGGTTTAATCGTAATGTTTTCATCCAGTTGAGTAGAATTCTGTTGTCTACAAAATAAATGAATCAGACAAACTTCTTCATAATGGTTTTTCGGAAATTAAACTCGTCAATTTTTCTGTTGAAATTACTTAAAGATTGTCTTTTTTCTAAAATGCTTTCCAATGTTACCGCCTCGAATTAAAGAAAAAGGTATTAGAACTGATTGAAACTGGTCAGCATCGATCAAACCAATGAAATACACGAAGCTTTTCTATTTTAACCGGTTCTTATCCGGTCTGATATATTTTTGCTAACTAAGAGTTTAAATACTGAAAATCATTCATTTTCAACATTCATTGTTAACAATCAGTACATCATTATTTTGTAGATAATTGTTCAACAAATTTTTATGAAGAAATTCATCGATAGGAGAATTGATAGTCAATATATGGGCAACAGAGTTGGGCATTTCAAATATTTCTCGGTCCATTTCCAGTTTTGAACTTCGTGTTTAAACTATGACTTCGGATCTTGTATTCAGAAATAATTAACTCTGTTAGAATTCTGGTTCAAATTTTTCAAAGAGTCTTATCTTTTAATTTTTAGGGTAGGAATATTACTAGTTCAACATACCTATAGTAGTCTGTCTCGTAGGCGTATTGTTGTTTCTTCATATGGCCATGCTCGGCATTGACTGGATGCGAATATTTTGAACGATGATCTTGATCGTTGCTTTAATGAGAAATAATAGAATAGGATGTAAGTTCTACCGAATCAGTTATTTTTTAAGATTTTTGTATTTCAAGTCAATAGAATCAATTCATTATGTAGTAGATTATTGAATCTTTCTTGTTATTTAAATGCTTAGAAAAAAAATATTTACAGTAGTAGATGAAGGTCTCTATTTACACAGTTCTCAGCTAGTTTAGATAGTGGTGGCCTAAAGATATCTGCGCATGTACTCGACTGTGAATGCTAATCAGGAGTAAAACCTTATTTTAGTTGCTTATAAGTCAAACTGGTATTATGATGGATGAAACTAATGACAACTATTTTTCTGTTGCGTTTCATAACTCTGGAAACAAAAAATTTCATAGATCAGTCGAGCTCGCATTATGTAGTGCTACGCTTCAATTTTCAATTTATCTAATCTATTGTATTGCTGTTCGTCAACTTATTGTCGAATCATGGATAATATACTCTAACCACTGGTATGAAGAAAAGTTACTGACTTTCATTTGGAAACCATTAATTCAGTGATAGGAGAATAAATCTAACCCAAAATTGTTGAGAAGTTTTCAAATGGAATATCTCAGATTAATCTGTTCGTATTGTCGATCTAAAGACACGCGAAGAAATTAATGTTTGAGGAAATGGACTCATATTGATAATCAGGAAAAAATTACAGATTGTCAATATGTAAATAGTGACTTATGCCCACGTCTGTAAATCATTTCTGAGACAAAGAAGAATCACATACCGATAACAATATACACCATAGCGACATTTTCGATTTTCACAAAATCCATTATCAGAGACTTCTGATACGTGATAATCCGCATCACCTGGATGTGTAAATTTCTCGCGATGATCAGCATCTTTCCTACAATGAGATAAAACAAGAGATTTTCAATACTCTACGAAAACATTGGTACAAAACTTGTAACATTTTTGACCATATCGACATGTACGACGTTTTTCAGCTATTAATAAAAATTAAAACGAAAATCTTGTCTTTTAAATGGTATCTTCATCTCCATATTTACCTGATGGTCTGCCGGATGGTGAAACAGATCCACCGGTATAATGGCCAGGTCGTGCAAGTTTAACTGAACATAGTTAGAGAAACATAAACTATTAGAAAGAAATTCTACAAGTGAAGCAGTACAAGACAACAACTTATAGGTACCCGATGAGATATGGGATGAGGACTTACAGGTACACCCATATGATAGCTCTTGAGGACCTATTAATTCGGTCTTAGGGTAGGCTTTCAGGTACATCCCCTTGGGTAGCCGTAGGAAACTATGAGATAGCTCATATGAAAGGAAGTGGTGATGGTAGGTTGAAATTAACCTAATAACAAACAAAAGGGTGAGGAAAATCTTAAAAATTCAAAATAGCCCGAAAAATCGATATATCCAAGGAAATCCGAAAATTCGAAAAAATCCGAAATAATCCCAAAATCTCAAATCCGTTTTTTTTCCCCTTGTAAGACAACAAAAAATGTGTAACTATTTAAGCTAAATCAGTGGAAACATGATAGATCTATTCGACTCCAACCGAAATCTATTTCCTGCTTATAATATTCGATAAATAAAGTATTCAAGAAAACGATTCTATTAGGGACGATGGAGGACTCATAGGTTTTTTCTTTGTCATAGCTCAAATGAAAATTGATAGCTTTGTTAAGGCAGAATCGAACAATTCTTCGAAGGAAAGAAAAATAGTTTTTAACTTACCTAACTCTTGTCGAACATCGTCAGGTACCTCCATATGACATACATCATCAACGGGACAAAAGCTTTTATGCAGTGATTCAACAATCTTTCCGAATACTGGATGTGTTTTTAATTGAATAAGAGTTGCTTTAGCACTTGAACGTTCATCTGGATTTTTCCTAAGTAAAAGTTCAATGATCATTCTATAACCACCACCCGCTGGGACAACAACATCTTCTGCATGTTGATCATTACAAAAATGTCTATATGTATTTTCATCATTCCATGGAAATTCACCACAAAATAAAAGATAAAACATAACACCAGCTGCCCATACATCAGACGTTTTATGGAGTTGTCTTGATATACGATTTTTAAAATCATATCGTAAAAATTCTGGTGATGCAAAAAATATAGTATGAACTTTGTCTACATCGACTGTCAATTGTGCACGTTGAGTATACATTTTTTCAGCTGCACCAAAATCAATTAATTTAATACAAAAATATTGTTTAGTTGGAACAAGAACAATATTTTGTGGCTTTATGTCACCATGAATAATATTCAATTTTTCGAGAAATGCTAATGCACGCAATACATAAACAATGATAACCATACCAAAAATTGTTATTTGTTCAGTTGTTTCGTGAAATGTTTTATTTTTCCAAAATGTATACAGATCACAAATAGCGAATTCCATCGCAATAAAAATATTTTTCTCGGTTAATTTACTACCGCGATATTCAATAACTGGATGATTATCAATAGGAATACGTTTTATTAAACGTAAAAAACTGATTTCATTTTTTATTTCTTCTTGTATGTCAGGTGTATTTTCTAAAATTTTAATAGCAACTGTACGACCTGTATTTCTAACTTTTGCCTTATAAATTTTACCGAAACCACCTCGACTAATAAATTGAATGATTTCGTATGTGGTGTTTTCAATCTGAATTTCGAATTTTTCATCGCTTGTAACTGTTTCATTCGCTTTTGATTGTGCGACTGCTAATAACATTGCAACCATTTGTTCGAAAGTTGCTTGTTGTTGTCGTTTATTAGCTTCTTCTTGAGCAGCGAGCTGTTTTTCCATATCGGCATTTAATTTCATGATTAATTTTTGTTCCCGTTCTGATGCATCTAGCTTGACTTTTGAATGAATGAGTCCCATTCTTAATAGAAAATCGAGCTGTGTGAAATAATAATTGATGAAAACAATAACAAATGAAACAGACGCGTGTACACGTGAACAGAACTTCAAGTGACGTACGCTTAAGCAAAAGCAAACATCGTCAAAATCTTTTCGTTCTTACATTCATCTCTATTGTAATATAAAAAGTAACTCGTGTTTTTTTTGTGTAATTTTCCTTCCTGTTTTTTGTTGTTAACAACAAGAATGGCATACACATTTATTTTATTTTTACTTGGAAAAAACCAGAAAAATTATTTATAGCACAAGTATCATGTTGGTTATTTCCTAGTGCAAATAGTCGGTCTTTGCCAAAATATAAACCAATCATAAAATAGTTTCATTAGTCATATGAAAACTAATTCAGGAAGTACTTTAATTTTTTATTCTTCTCATTATTATTTATGATACATGATTATAAGGATTAAAACAAAATCGATTCATACATGGAAATTTCCTCCTATAAAAGACATCATAAAATGTAAGTATATCATTTTGGAAAGAGGATATACCTGGTTTTTCGGCAAGAAAAAAACTGAAAACTGATGGAACGTGGAAGCAGCGTTGCGGATGAGAAAGTCTAAAAAATTTTCCGATGACTTCCAGTCAATTTCATATTCTCTCTCGCAAATCACTAGAGAAATATGAAATTTTGATGCATTAAAAATGGAATGATTCAGATTTCAGAAATTTCGCGTTTTATGTTGGCTAATTATCAAAAAATCTTTTTTACTTTCTACTCAGAACCTAGAAAACAATCGCAACAATCCTCTTCATCCAAAAGTGTTGAACATTTTTGATTTTTTCACTGAAAATACTTCATTCATGTCCATGTTTTCTGAATTAAACTGACTCTGACAAGAGAAAGTTACAGAGAGCGAGAGTGAATAAAAGAAATTTTTTTTTTTTGTGTATTATATCTTACAAAAGTTTCCTTATCATGCATTTACTCTTTACTGTTCTGTACTTTTTTTTTCTTATATAGGGTGGAGTGACTGGCGGCGGGTAAGATTGTTCTGATTACCCTCAATCCTCACCCTATTGTATATTAATTAAATTGAAAACTTTTGAAAAAATAAATCATGCTATATTCCGATTTTTTTTCATAGGTTTTTTACAACAAATATCGAAAAATTTATAAGAGTATTATGATTCCTTTAGTAGATTCGTATCAGACCATGGAATAAGGTTACATGTAATATTTGCTGCACTACGATATTTAGACCATTTATTGTTATCATGATAGAAAACTGAAGTATTATTAACGATGGCAAATAATTCAGGACCTCGTTTACTAATTTTTTCATAATAAGATGCTGTTGAATCACATTCGACACCTTGTCGATTGAATTTACGCTTAAGATCGTACCATGAAGATTCAATACCATTCGCATGTACAAATTTAAGATCTTGAAGGCTAGTATAGGTGAATTCACACATTTCTAACATTTTACGAGGTACTAAATTAAGAATAAAATTTTCAGTTTTGTTTTACAAATGATAATTTTTATAGTTGAAAATCAGTTAGAATTTCAAGTTGAACTTGAAAATATCTAATACAATAAAATATCATACCTGTAGCTATCTGTTCTTCCATAGAAGATTGTTTGAACCAGATAAATTGAAGCATTTCTACTCCTTTTTCCTTTTTTTGTCTTCCTCTAGCATATCCGAATGTATAATATTCAAATGATTCAGTTATAAAATGTCCATCATTAGAACCAAATACATTGGTTTTTCTTCCATTAGTCGTATAAAATTGTATACCGACTATATTAAAATTTGTCTGATGTAAATTTTGATATAAATTTATTTTGTTGATCTCTTCATTTGAATTCAACATGAAAATACTTGAAAATTGAGATGAGAGAATAGATAGTTCTTTGCTTTGAGTAGTAGTAGTAGTAGTAGTATGTAAGCTTGATGGTCGATCATTTGAATATAAGAATTGTATAGAGAACAGAGCGTTACTAGACCATTTCAATTCAACACCGATACATCGATCAGAATAGAATAGCTCACGATCTTTGGCATCATTAAATGTTTCATTTTGAATAAGACTATAATCACCGTATTGTAATCCTTCTTTCATGATATAGAATAGTTCTAGAAAGAACGAATTTGACAAATAATATGATTTGATTTAACTATATACCTTTACTTTGCTTTATGTTCTGAGAAGATATCGCATCATCTAATTTTGATGATTCAATGAAGACAGATTGAAATAGAATAAAGCAAAGCATAATAGATAAGGTAGTAATAATGATTAAAACAATAGAAAATAAAATACGTTTTTGATTTAATACTTTTAAAATTATTGAAAGCGATTGTTTTCTTTCATGTTCATTGAAATGATATGTTTCTTCGGAAAATGTATTGGTATTAGATCGTAGCATAGAATGTTCTAATTCAGAAATAGAAGATAATGGTGGAAATTGTCTTGAAACATCATCTATAACGAACATGCAAATCATTTGTTGAGTTTTGTTTTTTTTTTTACTTACTAGAAAAACTTCGCATTTTATCATCTTCAATATTTAAAACAGATTTGTCAATTAATGATGATTCTGATAATATTTGCTCAGTGTTTGATATTTTTATACTATGCAGTTTATATTCTAATAAAGAATTTTTAAGATTCATAATCATATATATTATAGATAATTACTAACCTTTGAGTTGTTCTGAAGCATCATTACAATTAATTTGTTCAAATATATTAATTAAATAATCAAAATTTTGTTCAGTAATTAAATTTCGATCAAAAAGAGAATCAAGAAGATTTAAACTACCAGAAGGTGTACAATTATCTCGATCTTTACGTGGAACTTTATTACCCACAGCAAAATGCAATGCTTGACGATCATTATTTGTCAATTGATTGAATAATTTTATAAGAAGAGATCGAAATTCCATAGTATTGTTTTTTTTTATTGATAATCTAAACAAGAGAAATCAAAAAGTAGAAGCATTAAATGTTTACAACGAAAAAAAAAAATGATTTCACCTTTTTCATTGTTATCTAATAAATTAGTTCTTCTTTTTTTTTTCTCTTCCTCTTCTTGTATTTTTGATAGGTCATATATCAAATGCAATAATAACGTGTATTGGTTTTCTTTTTATAGAAGACAGTAGATAAAACAAAGAAAGTATTAAAAAATATATATTGTGCATGATGCTTAAATGAATCATCAAACTATAAATGATCGTTTGTGTCTTTATGTCAGTTTCTTTTGAATTGAATTTGTTGAAATAAACAGCAATGTATGTATCAATCTTATTCGATTTCTATGACTGAAATTAATTATCTAAATGTTATCACTCACCAGTGGTAGTCAACATAGATTATGTCTTTTCCTTTCTTTCTCTTTGTTTTCAATCAAAAATTGAGACAGGAAATAATTATTATATAACATTGTACAAATTCTGTAGATATTAACCAAATTAGATTATTTTTGTGTTATTATTGAATATCATATTGATTTTTGCTACAGTTTTCTTTTTTTTTTTGTGTATTCATATGAAATCGAAGAATTATTGAAGTATTTCCATAAAATCTTTCATAATTTGAAAAATTATTATGCTTAAAATTCGAAATATCTTCTACTTGATAATAATATCGTTTATTTTATTTCTAAGTATATTTATCAAAAATAAATATGTCTATGTACTAAAACTAAAGAAATGAATTATTTTTGCAATGAATGATGAAAATTTGTGTATTCCTACAATCTAATATCATTATTAATTGATCATCTGTTTGAAAACTATTGTCAAATTCATCATTGAACTGAAACCGATCATCAGTAATAGGAAGTTTGAAACTTTGCCATTCATAAGTAGATGACGATTTCATCACATTTTTGTTTATTTCTTGTAATAATTTTGAATGTAGCAAAAAATTGACTTAAAGCTCTTTGTTATCTGATTTAAAAAATGGCTATAATGAATTTCAGATGAATAGTTCTGAACGAACCGCTTTTTCGATTGATGAACAAATAGTATTAGTTTTCGTAGTTTCATTGAAAAAATTTTTTTTTATATGAATAAAGACGTCAAAATAACAACAATAGTTTTAGTCTCATCTATTCGTATTTTTTGTTTGTTATTACAATTGTCATTCTTTAATTAGAATAAATAGTTACTTATTGCTCTTTTGGAAATGTAAAATCTTTTAGAACATCAACAGCTTTTTGAACAAAAACATCTTTTAACGTTGGTTCTTGATGAAGAAGATCGTTTTAGTTTTTTTTTCCTGTATTTTTTGATGATGTAGAATATAACCAGCAGCTATATCTAATACATATTGAATATTAGTTGATATATGAAGAAGAATATCTTATATATTAGCAAGTAATTCTTTAACATGTTCAACAATTTTCCTTCAGCTGTTTGATCATTCTTAGACGCTAATATATCTTTTTATAATTGACTAAAATGAGTTTGAACTTGTGTTTCATGATAGAAGAAAGACAATAAGATCAAAAATATTCTCGTTATAAGAGAAAATTGACATCAATGTATGAACATTTATCATAATATATTTAGAGGACATCCTCCTTTCGTTTCGAAATTTTTGGAAAACAGCTCCTCGGAACAAAAAATTATTGAAAAATTCAGAGCAGATATATGTCGATGAGTAAATTATCAATTACCATAGACTTCGAATTCTCGGCTGCTTTAATCAGGAAAATATGAAGTCACAAGAGCCAAAATAGTCCCTTTGACACTATAACTTCTTCTAAAGTGGCATGCTTATTTGATTTGAAGAGTGAGAATGCCTACGTTTATCGATGTCTTTCGATTCGTATAAAGAAAGTCACAATACAAAGAACACTCTAGAATATTTATCTGATCTATCTGTTGCAGAATTCAATTTTAACCAATATCTTTCACAAACAAATGGAAGTTTATGATTAAACTTATGTATACGAACTATAATAAATATGACAATTCAAACCATTATATGATATTTTATTTCTATTCTCGAATAACTCATCGTCTATATTACAATTGTATGTGAGTGATTAAACTTCTTCATCATCTTCTGTTAATTCAACTTCAATTTCCCATTTATAACCAAAATAATGAACACTTAAAATTTTTAATTTAGTACCAACAGCTAAAAGTGCTTCTTTTTCTTCACTAAATGTACTCCATTTCCATATATTAGCTATATTTTTTTTTGCTTTTTTACTTGAATTTTCTGTTTTTAATATTAATATAGCATTTCCAGGATAGATTAATAAACGATCAATTGTAAATGATAAAAATGAATTTGTATAATAATAATGATTTTGTTTTTCAATATAATATTTTATTTCATTATCACTTAAATTTAAACCTCGATAATAAATAGGTTTTATATCTGTTTTAATTAAACAACGAATTAATGAACGAAGTTTATTAACATATATCCAATCAATATCATCAAAATTGGCACTAAGTAAATTTAAATTTGTTTTCATATAACATTCATTTGATTGACTATTTGTATATGATTTTAAACAATATAACATATCATCTGTTAATTCATATTCATTAATATTTTTAGGATAAATTTCTTGAAAAAAAGGATAATATAGATTTTTTGTTAAAAGTTTACAATCAAGTAAATTAGTTTCAAAATTATAATAAAAATGTTCTGTATCATAATTTTCTGTTGTACTTGCTAATTGTTTTGGTAAATAACGATTATTGCGAGCATTTACAATACAACTTGCCATTTTGTTCTCGAAACAGAAATAAGGTATGTAAAAAATAAAAAGTAGATTATGTGTCTTATTTAGGTACTTATGGTCATGCTCAGGTAAGAAATACAATGATGAGTCATTTTCTGTTTCTATAGACTTCATGATTCATCAGTGAAAGTGTCTAACCAATGTTTTGAATTTACTAAAATATATCATGAGATTTCGTCAATTAGAGAAAATGTATCATATATGAGTGATAATTAATTGAATAATTTATGAAAATAATAGAATATAATCAAAAGTAAGTTGTTTACACGTAAACTATGTAGAGAATCAAATGAAAAAGAATGATACCTAGGTGGCAGTGTCTCATGTCAAATAGGTTTGAAATTAAATAAAATTCATTAGTATATAAAACATATTATATGATGAGAGAAAACAAAAAGTCTAAAAACCTTTTTTTTTGTATTAATACAAAATACAAATCATATTAAATAAATGAAAAATAAATCAATGCATATAGCAACATGAAGATGCTTTTGTTTTAAAGAATTTACATTGATCTTAATTCAAAATTTTTTTTTTCTTTGAAGCTTGTCCAAACTACTACCTAGAATTTTTATGGAACACGATCTAAGAGGAATGTTGAAGTATAAGAGTAAAAATTTGGACCGTCTCTTCTTCCGCTTCCACACACAGATCGTATATCAATAACGTCTCGTTATAATATATGAACTACTTTCTCATTACATTTCTGGATGATTTAGTACAAGGATGATGAAGGAATGTATCCTAAAATAATAAATAGAGTAAAACAATCTCCCTGTAATTAGCAAGAGCAACTGCATTGTGTTTCACATTCCAATGCTAGAGGAATCGTATTAATAACTTTTTTTTCTTCGAAGTTCCTCTAAATTGCTATTTTAAACTGTAAACTACGAAACAACATCATAATTGTCCTGAATTGACAAACGTTATTCGTATATTAGAGTCTATGATCAGTATCGAGAAGACAAAGTCTGTTTTCTTATCGAAATTTTCTTCACTAATCTCACAGTGACGAATTGTCGTTCTAGTACTTTTTTTTGCTTCCTCGAACTTTATCACAGAATTCTCATTCCTCATAAGTGAACCATCAGCCAATCAGGTGAGTTCTTGATGGAGATTTTCGCTAATGATATTCTGAATCTATTTTCCTTTCGATTTAGCTTTTAATAAGACTGCTCGAGAGAAAAACTTTTTTTCTTTCGATCTACACATGAACAACATTCTAAGTTTATTACATTCGAGAGTTATAAGACTTCCCCTAAAGCCTTCAATTTCAGTCAATTGACCTATGGATTATCCAGAAAAGCAGCTTAATATTTCTAAAATGTCGATTTCTTCGTTACACATGAAAGTTGATTGTGGAATTTCAGAAATATTGAGATAACAGAATCAGAATATTTCGAACCTAAAAAGAAACATCACCATTCGACTCAACAAGTTGAATTACCCTTACTTAACTGCTTTTCTGGGTAGTCATAGGTCAATTAACTGAAATCGGGCGTCTTTAGAAAAATCTTATAATTCTCGAATGGAACAAGCTAGGAATGTTGATCTAGTGTAGATCGATAGAGAAAAATTGTTTTCCATCCATTAATACTATTAAAAATAAAAATGGAAAGGAAAATAGACTCAGAATATTGTTTTCGAAAACCTCTTCCAAGAACTTACTTGATTAGTCAATTGCTGAACAATCAAGTTTCGATATATTTCGATTAGGCTGAGTCTCGGTGATGTTCCTATCACACGTTATTCGAAGAACAGTGGAACACATTAGATTTTGTAATGATAGTAGCAACTTGCGCCCATTTCATCCTTAGAACTTCCGTAATCTAATGACACTTTTATCAATGCGCAAAAATAGAATCCAAAGTTTTTTAACACTTCAGAAGATTCCATCGTCAGATTAAGGCGAAATGAAATCTCTACACATGAAAGTTATAATGAAATAATTGAAATGCATGTAAAATAAGTAATAAATACTTGTATGATAACAAGTAAATATGAAAAATAAATTTTGAATATAATCAAATTATTTATTTCTCATATTTTGAAAGATCTTGTTTGTATATATACATCAAATGCATATAAATTACTTTCATATTATTAACTTCAATTTGAATATGCATTTAAATATTAGTATGTTTTAATTGATATCAATTGTTATTCAATAGTATA